ACACAACTACCTAAAAAACGACATTAACTTGCAGCTAAAAAAAGTAAAAAAAATAAAAAATAAAATATCAAGCCTGTAGTAAGAAAATTCATAGGTACTCCCCTTTTTAATGGTCACAACATCAGGGGATGGACTTGTAATGGGCCAAGAAAACAGACTTTTACTTGCGAGCAGAAGTCGAAACCAAGAAGTGACGTCAAAAAACCCTGATACGCATAATATTACGCACAAATCTAGACGCAAACTGCCAATTTCAAACAATAGCAGGACAAGCAGAAAGGGTTTAGACTTGCACAAGTCAATATGTAAATTTAATATCTATATCTATCAATGCTCCGAATAAACAATCGACAAAGATAATACTATATTCAACTGATTCTTCCATCAAAGGCGAAAATCACACTCTATTTCTATCTATACTAAACAACACATTGCATGAAATAGTTGGGGTTTAGAATAAGTTTACCTTTGGCAGTCGGCAAAAATGAGACGATGAGAAAGAGCGACTTCCACCTAATGAGGCGAGAAGAGAAATGGAAATAAAAGAAAAAACAAACCATTTGGGAGTATTACTGTTCAAACCTCAACTATTTGTTACAAGCTTAAAATTTCTTTCTTTCAAAGCTACGATTCTCCCTATCTCAGTGAAGTGTGATCAATCGAAAAGGTTTAACTCCAAACTCTCACTCGTTTTCTCACACCATAAAAAAAAATCTCTTTCCCCAAAGTAAAGAAAAACATGATCTCTATCTCCAAAAAAAAACCTGTGCTCTGCCTTTTCAAAAATAAGAAAATTCCTCCCAATCCTTTTTGCCTTTTCTTTCCCGAATTGTCCAACCCTTTTAACCCCATCAAGAAAAGAGGTTTTTCTAGCGGGGGAAAACTACGGTTTTCAGATTTGGGAGGGAAAAGGGTATGAGCGGGATTACCATGTGATTTCAAATATTTCAAAATCTCCCAAAAGCCAGGAACCTCTTTCGCACCAGAAATCTCCAAAACTCAGGCAAAAATCTAAAAGGACAAAAGCGATGCAAACGGCTCGGATTGATTCTATGTCCTTGCGACTTGAAGTGGCCTAATCCCACATTCGCGAGGACGAATCTCACATTGTCATCGTCGTACGAATTGAAAGGGACGGAGAAAGGAAACGACAAATGAACAAACTGTCCTCTACCTTTTCATCTATTCTCGTATTCACACCTTATGTAGGGAAACGATTGAGGTGATGCCGTCTCTTTGTGTATGTTGGCGTGGTTGATTTTGTCAACTCTCTCTTGCGTGAAGAAGGGCGGGGCGCGTACCATCTGAGTGGTGTCGTTCACGCGTGCCGTTTGAAAGGCTGCGAGCTCGCTGTGAGGACACCATCCAAGTGGTGTTAACCCTGAAACTATTGGCAAACTTGGTAATTTCTGTTCTTTGAGGGTGATGTTGTTGGGCCGGGTAAAGGAGATTTGGTTTAGGCTGAAAAAGTTGAAATGTTATTGAGATTTGGTGGGCTACTAGATGTGGGTGGGGAAGATTAAAGGAGGAAAAAGAGATGGGCTGAACAATTTGAAGGGAGAAAGGGAAAGGTGGGCTGGAATTGAATTGAAATCAAGGGAAAATCGGGTTGGACTATTTTGGCATAAAGAGTGGGCTGGGGATGGGGATTATTGGGCTTCCGAAAATTGGAAATGGGGATAAGGCTGGATGATTGGAAATTGGCCAATAAATGGCCTAAAATTAGTCTTTTAGAACATTACTGATTTAGTCAAATTAACTCATAATTGGCATACTTGATTAGACTTTAAAATAAGATGGATTAATATAATTAATCAATAAGCTTCTCAAGGTTAACAAAATAAAAAAATTTATTCGAATATAAACTAAGGATTCAAAAATAAAAGCTATAATATTTAAACAAATATTTGTACAAAACGTAATATTACTATTTATATTTTTTCGACTTTGAATAATAATAATAATATCATACGAATAAATATGTAAGACAATACGTTAGGTAACAAACCTTATTTAAAATAGCTTGCAAGCTAAATTTATTTATTATTACTTTATTTTATTTATTATTATTATTATTATTATTATTATTATTTTGTTTTCAAAATTTATAAAATTAATTACTTTAAATTGTTTAAACTTGAGAAGCTCGGTAATTGATTACGCTTGATTTAACGCACGATTTTGATAGAATTCAAAAGTCATCTAGATACCGAAATATGAAGAGATTGGGATTCTCGGGAATAAGATCTATGAGGGAACGTTGGAACACAACCGAGTGTTCAACATTGAGCTCGCCTAGATATCCTTGTATCTTCAGGAATCAGGTTGTCTGTAGTTTGACTCGATCGATTGAAAAGAAAATCTATTATGTTAGATAACCTTTGGCTCTGGACGAGTAACAAATTAAATCGAGTATGAAAAAGAGGCTTGCAACCTCGTAGCCATGAGGGTGGATCTTTTCACATCTATAGGTAAAAACTTACACGGATATAATTTCGAAGACTCTTGGTGTATCGTCACTCAGACTGGAAACTTGCCTCCAAGACATACCAAAAATCCGGACGCAAATCGAAACTGATAAAAGCCAAAGAATAAACCAGATGCCTTCTGATAGGGGTGTGATTTTATTGTGGTTGAAGTCACTCCTCTGCTCGCATCCTAAAAGTTGACACTCCTCTTTGGACTATGTCCAAGTTCGCTGCTAAGAAAAAGTTCCACATTATGCTGCATCATTTTGATGTCGTCCGCACCTATGGTATGTTTTGTAGAATTCATCCTTTCGGATGCTCTCGACGAAGGCTGATATAAAACTCATTAGCATAAAAATGCAACTGAAATGAGAGGTAGTGTCCTTTACCATCTTGACACTTAGTTGTTCCTCTTCTTCATTTGACGTCAACTCGATCGGTTTGACATAAACCAAATAAAGGTTATGTATTATGATTGAGATATACTCTTCATTTGATGTCAAAATAAATAAAAATAGATGCAAGGTGGTGATATTTATCTAGATGTCGTCTTTGATGCTCTTCTTGAAAAAGGATGTTGTTAATTCCTTCTCTGCAGTGCATGATTTTTTGCGGGGCATGAATAACTTCCCTTGATGCGTGATTCTTTGCGGGGCATGAATATCTTCTCGTGATGCATGAATATTAACTTGCAATGCATGATCTTTTGCGATGCATGAATATTGACTCGCGATGCATGATATTTCGTGATGCATGAATATTGACTCGCGATGCAGGATCTTCTTTGATGCATGAATATTAATTCTCGATGCATGATCTTCGTGGGGGCATGAATATCTTCCCGCGATGTATAAATTTCTGCGAGGCATGAATATCTTCTCGCGATGCATAACTTTCTGCGAGGCATGAAATTTTTTCTCGCGATGCATAAATTTTTGAGAAGCATGAAAATCTTCTTGCGATGCATAACTTTCTGCGAGGCATGAATATCTTCTCGCGATGCATGAATATTAACTCGCGATGCATGATCTTCCGCGATTCATGAATATTGACTCACGATGCATGATTTTCAACGATGCGTAAATTTCTACGACATATGAATATTTTCTCGCGATGCATAACTTTCTGCGAGGCATGAATATCTTCTCGTGATGCATGAAAATTGACTCGCGATGCATGATCTTTTGCGATGCATGAATATTGACTCGTGATGCATGATCTTCCGCAATGTATGAATATTAACTCGCGATGCCTGATCTTCCACGATGCATGAATATTGACTCGCGATGCCATCCTTGGTACCAAATAAAGATAATTCTTCAATCGAGAATTATAGTTAACTTCTGGGTAATGATATTGTTTCGACCGATAATACAAATGAATGACCCTTCGGATAGTGTATCATCTCAACCGACAATACAAATAAATGACCCTTCCGGTAGTGGTAATACCTTTATGATATTATGATGCAGATGGCGTCCTTTGTGGAAACCGTGAACTCTTTCTTGAGATTTTCTGCTTGATTCATCTTTTAATCTAGCTGGACATTTTTTAGACTTGATGTTGTTGGAAATTGACTGAAATAAACCATTTGTATTCCAATATAAGCAATATAAAATAATTCATGCGTCTACATGAACACCGTTAATTTTGGGAGAGCTTTCTCCTCCCTTGACTTCTCTATATTCATCGATCAGAGGAATTTGCTAATTTTAAAGCAAAGCTATAAACCTGCGTCCACCGAAAAATTGTTAGTTTTAAAATGAACTGATCTGTGTCGATTCCTTCAGTTGTCTACTCATTGTCCTGCTATTTCCAGTTGATTTCCTGATATCGCGACTCTTGATAGACAAGACAAAATATTTTATGCCAAAACAAATGAAACATGAAGGGAAAACTTTAAGATTTTTTTTTTGAGTAGTATTTTTAAAAAGGTCACTGTTAAGTGTCATGTCACGTCAGGCTTAGCCTTTGAGCCTGATGCTTGGAGGTATATCTGTCCCAGTTAACTGTCTTGGATTATCCTTGACTGTTAGTGAGCAAATCATGGAACTTTTGAGATCCCTTCAAATATTGTTCTCGGTCACAAATCTCAAAATATCTTCAGTCTTGGCTTGTTGAGAAAAAATCTTCTCGACATTTTTGAGTCCCTCTAAAAAATTCTGTCCCAGTTTCTAATGTAAAGAGGAATAGAAATCTTACGGGAAATATGATCGAAACCTTGTGGCGCTTATGTATCCCTTTGAGGCAGGAATTAGGTCAAATGTAGTTCCTTCTTAAGGGTTAACAAAGAATATGAAATTCACAAAGAAACCGATCGAGGCCGACATAGACCGCCTACGTATCTCATTCTTGAGAATTCAGGTCGAACGTAGTTCAAATACAAAAAAATATTGAAAGGGATAAATGGGGTGACCGAGGCCGAAATAGCCCGCCTAAGTATTTCATTCTCGAGAATTCAGGTCAGATCGATTACAATAAATAACAAAAATGCAAACTGAAGCTTCACACGTAGTATTTCTTGATAGCATCTCAGTTGATCGATTTCGGCCATGTGGTGCCATTTATTTCCGAAAGGACCAAAGCACCTCTAGATAATACTTTGCGAACCATGTAAGGTCCTTGCTTATTTGGTGAAAATTTTCCTTTGTACTCTTCATGATGAGGAAAAATGCGCTTAAGTACCAACTGACCGATTTCCAAAATTCTGGCTCTGTCTGTCTTGTGGAAAGCACGAATCATTCTCTGTAGATATAGTTGACCATGACAAACGGCAACCATTATCTTTTTATTAATCAATGTTATTCGATCAATCCGCTTGCTGACCCACTTAACATTACTTAACTGAGCTTCTTGGATAATTCTCAAAGATGATATTTCGACTTCAGCAGGAATGACTTCTTCTGTTCCATATACTAGCAAATATGGAGTGAATGCAATTGACGTTCTGACAGTCATTGGATAACCCAACAAAGCATATGGAAACATCTCATGCCATACTCAATGATTGTCAATCATTTTCCTCAGAATCTTCTTGATATTCTTATTGGCAGCCTCTACAGTTCCATTCATTTGAGGACGATAAGCGGTTGAGTTTCGGTGAGTAATCTTAAATTGCCCACATATATATCTTATCATGTGACTGTTGAGATTTGCACCATTATCAGTAATGCTGGATTTTGGTACTCCAAATCTGCATATCATATTTTTGCAAACAAAATCGGCTACAACTTTTTTGGTCACCGACTTGTACGGAGCTACTTCTACCCACTTAGTGAAATAGTCGATGGCAACCAAAATGAATTTGTGTCCATTTGAAGAGGCTGGATCTATCAGACTGATGACATCCATACCCCAAGCTACAAATGGTGAAGGTGAACTCATAGCATTAAGTTGGTGAGGCAGCACTCGGATCAAATCACCGTGCACTTTACATTTATGACATTACTACACAAACTTACAACAATCATTCTACATAGTCATCCAGCAATAACTGGCTCGAAGGATCTTTCTTGCCAAAGTGATCCCATTCATATGCGTACCACATACTCCAGCATATAACTGTTCAATAAGTTTTGCAGCTTCACCAATATCAACACATCCGAGAAGACCCAAATCTAGAGTCCTCCTGTAATGGACTTCTCCAATAAGAAGAAATTGAGATACATATGATGTATCGACTTTTTATGGTTGGATGCATCTTCTGGATAATTCCCAAACTCTAAATACTTCCTTATATCGAAATACCATGGCAAATCATCTGGTTTTACTTCCACATGTGAACAATGGATTGGATGTTCCTTCATCTCTATATATAGAGGATCAATATACTTAGTGTCTGGATGCTTAATCATCGAAGCAATGGTGGCAAGGGAATCAGACAACCCATTATGTATTCTGGGAGTATGTCTGAACTCGATCTTACGAAATCTTTTGCATAGTTTATTTACACACTTCACATAAGGTATAATCTTTGGATTCTTCACGGCCCACTCTCCTTGAACCTGTCCAATAACTAATAGCTCATGGACATTCATGTCGATGTCCATTTTTAAACAAAGAATGCAAGCTTCATATTCAGTCATGTCGTTCGTGCAATTAAATAAGAGTTTAGCTGCTATGGGATAGTGTCTACCAGATTATGACACTAAGACTGCTCCGACACATTTTCCTTGGTGATATGCTGCTCCATCGAGAAATAAGTCTTTAGTGGCTCATATGCTTCATCAAAAGGATTTTCTGCAAGATGATCAGCCAAAGACTGTGCTTTTATCGCATTCTGAGTCACTCACACAATATCAAATTCACTCAATAACATTTGCCACTTAGCTAACTTCCCGGTTGGCATCACCTTTTGGAAAATATACTTCAATGGGTCCATCCTGGAAATAAGGTATGTACTATAAGAAGACAAATAATGTCTCAACTTCTGGGCAAGCCAAGTCAAAGCACAACATGTTCTCTCCAACAAAGTGTAACGAGACTCGTATGGAGTAAACTTCTTGCTTATATAATAGATAGCGCTTTCCTTCTTTCCTGTCTCTTCGTGTTCACCAAGTACACATCTGAATGCACTATCTGAGACGGACAAATACAGCAACAATGGACTCCCTTCTTGCGGAGGAACCAATACCGGTGGAGTGGACAAATAATTATTGATAGCGTCGAAAGAAGTCTGACACTCTTTAGTCCACTTTGTCAGGGCGTCTTTCTTCAACATCTTGGACATAGGATCACACACCACAGTTTATTGAGTTATGAATCGACTGATGTAGTTCAACCTCCCTAAGAAACTCATCACCTCCTTTTTAGTCTTCGGAGGAGGTAACTCTTGAATTGCCTTGATCTTAGAAGGGATGAGCTCAATACCCCTTCTGCTGATTATAAACCCCAACAACTTGCCGTCTGGCACCCCAAAAGCGCACTTAGCAGGATTTAACTTCAAGTTTTAATGATGCAAGCGATCAAAGGACTTCTTCAAATATGTCAAGTGGTCTGAACTCTCGTGGGACTTGATTATGACGTCATCTTCATACACCTCGATAACCTAATGAATCGTATCGTGAAATATAGTCGTCATACCCTCATATAAGTAGTGCCAACATTTTTCAGTACAAATGGCATCACCCTTTAATGATATACACTCCAAGGTGTAATAAAAACTGTCCTTTTTGCATGTTCTTTGTCCATTAGAATCTGATGATAACCTACGTAACAATCCACAAATGACTGCATTTCATGTTTATCACAATTATCGATAAAAATATGAATATTCAACAATGGAAAATTATCCTTTGGACTGGTGATCTCTTTTTTCATCTTTAAACTCAATTCAGGCTTAAACTTCGGAGCCTTCCGCTTCACCGATTTGAACCATTGATTAATCGGCAATTTGTGAGACACAACATTGGTACTCAGCCCTAGCATATCGCTGACATCCTAGACGAAAACATCAATGTATTCAGCAATTAAATGAATCAGGCTCTTTCTTTGATCTTCATTCAAGTTAACGTTGATTTTAACTTTTTTGACACACTCTTGTTCTCCCAGATTTACTGTCTCAGTTTCCTCTAAATTTGGCTTATGTTTATTTTTGAACTGCAGAAAATCTTTAGCGACATATTCCGTTGCCTCATTTTCCTCTTCATATTCATCAACTTCGTTATTACCTACCTCATTTTGTTTGTTCATCTCGTGACATGACATGACATTAACATGTTTAAAACTTACATTACTGAAAACATAAAATAAGAAAGTTAGAAAAGCAAAGTATAGCAGATGAGTAAATAAATAAATTTTTGATAAAAGAGGTTTTCATTCAAATTGGAAATAATGCAAACTTTGTCCATGGAAAAGGGCCATATTGCCCTTTTCAAACATCACGAGGAAATTTTTAAAAATTCAAGCAATTATAAAAATGCAAAATGGTGGGTCTCGTGCCTCTTCCGGACCGTCGCCGATTTAAATATGCATAAATGATTCCTTTCTACCAAGTAGTTTGGGGAATAAGAATCGGCATGAATGTCCAACTTTGCAGCATCTCCCCTGGATCAGCATCACGGTTACCAGCTAGCTCGACCTCTTCCTCAATAATAGCATCAATCTCCTAGAAAAGAATGCAGATTCCTTCCCTAAGGTCATTATGCTTGGCATACTCCCGAACTGGAAATGATTGATATAGATGAGGGATTGTCTTAACCAATGCTTTATCACCATTCTTTTTCATCTTCACTTCATCATCTGTGGGGATGTACCCAAACCATATCTCTCTCCTTTGACGGGGACCGGAATAGGCTCAATATTTCCTTGGAAATTTCTTCCCAATTCAAAACCTGGTTCAAAACCATTCTACAGCATCACAGTAGTTATCATCTTGTACACGACATGCATATAAGGATGTGGGGCCAAATCCTCACGGGTGGCATTTACCAGCTCCATCGTGTAGAAATCAGTACCTTACGAAGCTCATCAATAATAGGTGCCTGTCTGCTGAAATGACTCTCGTTTCCTTGAATAACCAACTTTTCGTTCTTCCTAACGAGTTTCATCATCTGATGAAGGGTAGAAGGCACATCTCCAGCCAAATATATGAAAGGCCTCCCCAGAAGAAGGTTATAGCTGGTGTCAATGTCGAAGACTTGAAACTATGTGCTAAATTTTGTTGGACCCTTTTGGATGACCTAATTCACCGCTCCCAACGTATCTCTATGCATCTTATCAAAGGCTCTTACATTGACTTGGTTCTTCTCTAATTTCCCCAAATCAAACTGTAACTGTCGTAGTGTCGACAATGGATAAATATTTAGACCGAATCCGTCATCTACCAAGAAGTGATTATGACCTTCTCAAGACATACAACAGTGATGTGCAATGCCTTGTTGTGTGAACTCCCTTTAAAGGGAAACTCGTCGTTGCAAAAGCTAATGCATTGCCCTTGGATGACTTGGTTGTGTGAACTCCCTTTGCTTATTGTCCTTTTACCCTGATCCTTCTTCTGTTCTCTAAGGGCTAATTCTTCGGGAGTATAACACCTCCCAAAACGGGTCATATCCTGAGCGGCAGCAGTTTCAATCATAAATTTTTGTCTGACAAGAGTCTCTGGTGGCACTAAGGCAACAACCTTTGCGGGTGTCATGAATATGAATTGTTTTTTTCTTTTTGACGCTTAATGAGGCCACAATGAAACCAATTCTCTGCTTTTTCAAAAATAAGAAAATTCCTCCCAATCCTCTTTGCCTTTTGTTTCCTGAATTGTCCAACCCTTTAACCTCAATAAGGAAAGAGGTATTTATAGGGGGGGGGGACTAGGGTTTTCCGATTTTGTAGGGAAAAGGGTATGAAAAAAATTCCCCAGCGATTTCAAATATTTCAAAATATCCCAAAGTCTTGGAACCTCATTCGTATCAGAAATCTCCAATCCTCAGTCAAAAATCCAAAAGGATGAAAGAAATGCAAATGGCTCGGATTGATTCCATGTCCTTGCGACTTGACATGGCGTAATTCCACATTTGCGAGGACGAATCTCACACTGCCATCAACGCACAAATTGAAAGGGACGGATAAATAAAATGACAAATGAACAAACTGTTTTCTACCTTTTTGTCTCTCCTCGTATTCACACTGTATGTAGGAGAACGTTGGAGATGACATCGTCTCTTTGTGTACGTTGTCGTGGTTGATTCTGTTAACTCTCTTTCTCGTAAAGAAGGGAGAGACGTATACCAGTTGAGTGGTGTTGTTCACGCGTGCCGTTTGAAAGGCCACGAGCTCGCTGTGAAGACACCATCCAAGCGCTGTTAACGCTGAAACTATTGGCAAAGTTGGTAATTTCAGTTCTTTGAGGGTGAAGTGATTGGGCCGGGTAAAGGAGAATTGGGTTTGGGCTGAAAAAGTTGAAATGTTATTGAGGTTTGATGGGATACTAGTTGTGGGTTGGGATGATAAAAGGAGGAGAAGGA